GCACAAAAGGGGCTCAGTGAAAAAGTAGGCCTCCTTATCCCCCATCTCTGAGGCAACCACTATCATCAATGCCATATGTTTCCTTATTAATAAAAGACTGAATATTTGTCAATGCATACAGAAAAAAACAGAATTTGGGTGGCAGAATTATAGATCATTTTTTCTGCTTCTTTATGCATACCTGCACTTTTGGTAAGATGTATACACATTACTTTCAATATTGGGGAAGAAGGTACCCTGAGGATAACTATATGTATGGACCTACAGCTATTCAGTAGATAGAGACACAGGGTCTGAGGGCTCCCAGAGAAATGATCACTTGAATGACCTCTGTTATGAAGAAGAGACTCTTTACCTGTCTTAAGCAAATAATTGTCCAATTATTCTACCTACTTTGTTTTAATTATATTTTCACTTCTGATTAGATATTAAGCTTCTCCAGAACTTCCACCAAAAAATGGTTGAGGGTTCACAAAAGGAGGTACTATTTACTCATGGTTTATAGACCTATCCTGTCTAGATTTAGTTAGCATAAGCTCCTCACCAAGACTGAACATTTCTGAGTGTATCAATATGAAAAGCTGAGGCCTAGATCTCACTCAGTGTGGTGACTCAACTATAGTTCTGTCTTTCAAAGACCTTGATCCCCTTTGATTCCATGCCAGTTGGTGATTCTATCTCAGTACAACACTTGGAACTGGGCTGTAAAGTCTGAAATGCCCTTAGGAGAGACTGGTATATGGAAAGCTATTTAGCTTTATAACAATGGACTCAAATTGTTTGGGTTTTTTGTAATTGCCCTTTTATGACTTCCCACTACTCATATGACTTCCCACTACTTTCCCTTACTCATAGGGTCTAAGACCACTCCCTTCTGTTGTCAATGTAGCTCATTCTAGTAGCAATTCTTGGCCTCTTCTCCTCCATTTTGTTTCCATGGCTGGGTAGGAAATCAGCTTGTTAGGACTTTTAAAAATCCACTCCAGGCCAGGCTCGGTGGCTCACGCCTGTAATCCTAGCACTCTGGGAGGCCGAGGCGGGTGGATGGCTCAAGGTCAGGAGTTTGAGACCAGCCTGAGCAAGAGCGAGACCCCGTCTCTATTAAAAAAAAATGGAAAGAAATTATCTGGACAACTAAAAATATATATAGAAAAAATAAGCGGGGCGTGGTGGCGCATGCCTGTAGTCCCAGCTACTCGGGAGGCTGAGGCAGTAGGATCGCTTGAGCCCAGGAGTTTGAGGTTGCTGTGAGCTAGGCTGACGCTATGGCACTCACTCTAGCCAGGGCAACAGAGTGAGACTGTCTCAAAAAAAAAAAAAAAAAAAAAAATCCACTCCAATACAGACCCAAGAGTTCTCCAAGAAGGCAAGGGTCTGGGCCTTGATGCATGGACTTGAGGACATTTCTTTAAGGACTTGGAGGACTTTCCTACTTAACTCCTGATCTTTATCTCATGTTGCAGACATATGAGACTGGGAAAAAATGCCCTCTGGAGAGATAAAGCATTTCCATGTTTACCATGTTGACCACATTTAGGCAAAGGCCAAGGTGTAGCATCACAGTTAAGGGGGGTGGGTAATATTTGGATATTTACATGGACAGGATTAAGGGGAAAATATTAAAGCTCTTAGATAACACACAGAAACTATAATAACTATAATTTAGCCAGAAAGGGAGTTAGGCAGTGGCCACTCCAACATCTCTAAGTGCAACCTGCCACACAGATATTTATGCACTGTCTTGTACTGTTTGCTAGTTGTTTTGTATATGTTAATTCTGTCTCTCTTCTAGACTGGAAGCTCCTGAGGGCCAGGCCTTATCTTCTATTGCTTCAGTTTCCTCACCGGTGCAGAGTTCAAAGCAAATATTTAACATTTAAATTGTATTCAATATTTAACAGTTGGCAGACTAAAACAGACTACAGCTGAAAATCAACTCCCATAGTAAGGTCGCTGTATCTTAAACATGATGAAATATTTCAAAAAAATTATTATAACATTGTATGCTGATAAGATGAAGGCTGAAATTCATTGCAGCTGTGATCATGATTAATTACAAGTTACTCATATATTTTTGGGCAAGCCCACTTCTTTAACATCTTTTTTCTATTAAATTACATGCACTATGCTCAGGACCAAAGTAATTTCTCAGCTCTTCAAAAAAAGAAGAAGGAGAAGGAGAAGGAGAACAAGAAGACACTGTGACAGCTTAAAAGTATGTAAAATAAGATGAACAAATACTATTGGAACAATCTTTTTAGGAATATCAACATAATTACATCCATTAGACCAGAGTGTCTATAATTATGAAAGAAAATACTCTCAAATATTGTTTAATAAATTTCATGACACATAATGTCATAAAGGGAAAAACTCTATCTCATTCACTACTTATTTTATCAGCTTTATTCTACTGTGATAATTAAAAAAGGAATGCCAAATATTTATATCAAAAAGAAAATTCTCTCCAACATGCATAAATCAAGTGTGATAACTGTAGATTTTATTTTAATCCCACAGTTAATTCCGAAAGTAAATAAAAATGTAATGTGGTATTTACATTGTAATTAAAATTCACACGATCTACAAAACGTCAATGGTACACTGATGCCCCCAAGTGGCACAATGATAGATTGCAATACTCCAATGGAAAAGTTAGAAGCACTATGTATATACAGCTCTTTAGTTTTGTTAAGTACTTTGATTAAATATAGAAGTGTATATTATATGAACCTGTATTTCATAGGAACTAGTAATAAGTGTACTACAGACCAGCTCGGACTCATGCTCTATTCAAGTCACTCTTTTAACATTGACACCAAGGGATAGTCTGATACAGGAAGGTATGATGCACCTTCCTTATGAGCTCAAAAAGTTAGAAGTGTGTCTGCAAAACAACAAAAGGAGTCAAATCCACTCTATTAAGGGAGTAGAATTCACACAATTATAGAATGCTCCTTAGAAAGTATTCATCTTCTACCCACCTCTAACGTTAACCAATTCCCTATGTTTGTAGTCTAGCGTGTAACACAGAATTTAAAACCTTACACCTAACCAAATTGCTTGGTGAATGGGTGGTGTTGATAATGTGGTTTGCTCACAAACTTAAGGTTCAACTGCCAACATTCTGCGGAGGGGGGAATCTAAAAAAAAATTAGTTTATTTTTCTGCCTCTATACACGCATTAAACGTAACAATAGCCGATGAGTTGATATCTTACACAGCTTAAAGGTTCACATTCTGAGGACCAATTTCTTTTGGATAACCACAGAGATGTAAAAGAATGTCTAGATTAGACCTTCTTGTGCCAACTGATTTGCCCATTGTCCTCACCATTGGATTCATCCCACAAAACTAGCCTTTGTCTGCCATCTTTAGCTATAGTCCTGTGTTTTAAAATTAGTTCAGGTATAAAAAAGGTCACTAACAAATCACTTACCAATCAGCTCCAGTCTCTCTCTTTACTCTTACTCATTCTCGCTCTCCCACCTCCATACATACACACACATACACATACACACACACACGCACTCTCTCCCTCTCTCTTTCTCTTTCCCTCTCCCCACTCACCCATTATCTCAAGTTCTGATACTTTCAAGTCTGATCATTATACACCTTATTTTATATCTTTTAATCGACTTTTTAGCCCTTCTGCAAATTCTCTTACATTTCTTCATATTCCTCATTAGTCAAAGATACTAAGATTGGATATGGTTCTACAGTGTAGTTTTTACAGGTCCTGGGTCAGATTTAGGTCTTATTCTCAACATTTCCATAAAGGTTCTCTAGTAATTGTCAGAAATTTATTATCCTACTCTAAATGGCTAGAAGAGCACCTCTAGGACTTAAGGAAAAAAACTCCTTTTCAGTAGGAGTCATAAGGACACCAGAAAAATGCCAGCTTTTTCACCATTCTTCACATAGGAATTAACTTAAAATTATGAATTCTATTAATAGATAATTACAACTTTAAAAAGTTCTGAACATAAAGACTATTTAAAAGGTTGATTTTTTTAAATAAAGTAGTAACATTAGTAACACTTACCTTTATAATTCTTAAGACATATAAAGAAGTAGAAAAGGGTTTATCACACTGATTTTAAATCCACACTGAAATATTCAATGGCCAAAAGGTGGAAGAACTTAGAGTAGGCTAAAAGTCTCTGAATAAAACAATAGATTATTGGGTGAAAATTTTGTCTTATGGGATTAAAGGCCAATTTATTGAGTCATTTATTTCTCCTGCTCTCTCTTCCTCCTGTTTCTGATGTACAAGTTTTTTATCTTAACTTCAGTTCCAACTAACTTTTCACTGTAGCAAGTTCAAAAACCTTTAAGACAAAAATGAAGATTTATCTTTATGTGTAGGAGTGGTACTATCCAATGGTATTGAGTTTTTGTCTATTATGAAAGTTTACAGGGTCCTATCAAAATGTAAGGAAAGGAGGTGAGAACAAGGGGGTCATCAACATAAGATAGTTTTAAATGGGAGACTCCATTTGGCTTAAATATCTAATATGAGGGCTTTGTGACTACAGATTTTGAAAATCTTCTCCATAGAAAAGCCAAAAAAAAAAAAAACCACTAATACCATACTTCTTTTGGTTTATTCTATTCATCTCAAATGTAAATTACTGATTATTTGCATTCTATTAATATAACATTTCTAAAAATTCAGTCATTATGAACAATTCTTATTTTCTCATTCGAGAAGTTCCAATCAAGTTAAGTGGAAGCAATGTTGTAACTGAGACTGTGGTATGCATAAAAATCCCACATTCACATAATCTACACCACATCTCTTCTTTAGGTTATTTGGATACTTTATTCACCTGCTGAAATGCCTTTAAAAACCTCATCTGAAGAGATCAGTCAAGGAACTTTCCTGTCTATACTAAATTCTTGCTTTAATGCAAAGAACAAATCCATGTTCTTAATCAGTTAAAAGCTGCACATACAGGGCAACCAACTCAAGATTTGTATGAAGTATTTTTACTTACAATTCCTCTCCTTGTTTGGCTTTCTTGTCTGAAACCAGATAGACAGTTCCAAAACTTCCACTGCCAAGTTTCTGTTGAAGCACATATCTTCTTGCTACCAAGGTCTCTGGATCACTGGAAACGGCTACTGATTCACTCACACACTTAGCAGCTTCTTTGAATTTTAGCATTGCTCCAAACAAGAAAGAACTGGTTTATTCATTTATAGAAACTTAACATTCATTTCTAAGAGATGGTCAAATTCATCCAAGTAGCGCTGGTCAATGCCTTAAAGATGGAAAGTCCAAAGATTAGGTCTAAAGGATGCTCAACTATTCCTAACAAAAACTGTAAGGTTTTGACAATGATATCTGCATCTTGATCAGCAGATTGAATGACACCGTATTGGTTAACAACATAAGAGAAAAATGTTAAAAGGTGGAGCTACTGCAAATTTCAGTAGAAGGCAAGCTTCCACAGAAAAAGCCTCCCTTTGCATGTAGAAAGTTAACAGAATTCAATTACAGCCAACTTTTCACAAACTTCTAGTATGTATATCTGTTTTACAATCAACAATCTGTTCATTTGTTTAAGATTTATACTCCCCATCTACTAAAAAAAAAATGTCCAAATATAAGAACATTATCACTTCCTTAAATCTATACATTTGCATCAAACTTTTTGTAAGGCTCTCTTCTTACCTTATGATTATTTTGGTTGAAAAATAGTAAGTTAGGATTAAACCACGAATTAGCATGATGTTGTTTCCTTTAGATTTTTTTTCCTGTAGACTTTAAACCACAGTTTTTCATTTACAGAATAAATGTGAGGAGGGATTCAGAGTGAATTTTTTCCCATGCGAAGCTAATTCTGATCTGCAGTTTTTAGTATACACGTTGTGCATACAGTAATCTTCCTGGACTGAAAACAGGAAGTGTCACAAATTCGATTCAAATATAAAACTATATTTTAATATTAATGGAACAGAAATATGTTACAGGTAAATATGTATTCTCAAGGAGCTATGAGAAGTATAGCAGAGTATGAAAGTCACAGTGGCTCATGCCTGTAACACTTTGGAAGGCCAAGGTGGGAGGACTGCTTGAGCCCAGGAGTTCAAGACCAGCCTGGGCAATGCAGCAAGACCCCCATTTCAACTAAAAATTAAAGAAAACCCCACACACACTTGTAGTCCCAGCTACTCAGGAGGATCACTTGAGCCCAGGAGTTCAATATTACAGTGAGCTATGATTGGGCCACTGCACTCTAGACTGTTTTATATGAGTAGGTACATGGTAAAATCATCACTTTTATTTCATTAAAATGTTAAATATTTTGTTAGTTACAAAAAGTGTTTTTGTTTTAAATTTATGTGAAAATGTGATTTTAAATTTAAGATTGTCTACGCCTTGGAATAGGTTTTCATATTCAACAATTCCAAAGCGTCAGATAAAAACCTATTGTTTTATAATGATGGCCAATAGGCTTTACATGTGTCAGTTAACCACAAAAACCACCAGGGCAATTAACCACAAAATCACCACAAAAATCCTCAAAATAGAACATAAGTAAATGCCCATTTATAACATGTTTCTTCTTGAAATATATTTATCAGTTAAGTTACACCTGATGCCAGTGACATTAGTAACTAGTTTTTTCCCCTCACCCCAAAGAAATGTTAGTGAAACATACTGCTGAAAAAACAACTAGAGAACAGATCTTTAAAAGTACCTTCTGTTTGCTTTCTTCACTGGCATAAAAGTGATGCTTTCTGGGCAAACTAAGCTGTTAAAAAAAATATATGGACTCGCAGCCTTTTCAACTGAAAAGGGTCCTTCCGATCACTCCGTAATTCTTCTTATTTTAAAGATGAGATTAAGGTCCCCATTTATTGAAGAACAGAATTAAAGATGGACAGAATTAGTTATATGTCCACTTCCAGCGGCTCCTATTTGTAAAGGAGAGTTTAAATTCAGCAGTGCCTAAGCAGTCTGGCCCAGGCTGTAGAGGACTCTGGGACTAGGTTCCCTACTGCCCAGTCTCACAGACTCAGCCCTGCCACCTCCATCCCAGTCCACTTTTAGGCCACCCATTCCATAAGTCTCCTCTGTGCAACCATAGAGCTATGCAACCATGTACCCCACTGTCTAGATTCTACAACTATCTGTTCGCCTCTCACCCCTCAAGGGTTGTGAATGAACTTGAGCACCTGGAACACATCTTATTTATCTTTGCATCCTCAGTGCCTGGCAGAACGCTTGGCATATACTAGGTGTTCAATAATCTTTGTTAGGGCGAATAAATGACCAGCAGATCAACTGCCACCCCATGGGGAAACAAAGTTCGTTTAAAAAGCTGGATGGGAGCTTGGAGAAAGTTAACACCTTGTGCAACCTATCCCTTCAAGGTGAAACATCTGGCTGGGGGCAAAAAAAAGGGGGGGGGGGGGGGAAGGGGAGTATTTATCACAGGTTGAAGCTGAGTAGTTCTCTTCCCAAGTAATAAACGAGAGGAAGCCGATGTGACACCAGGTTCTGCTAAAGTAGGAACCTAACCTTAAAGGTAAAGTTTAACCTTAAGGTAAAATGAACAATCCTTACTACTTCCAACTATTTAAACATTTACATTTTCGTAAAGTGGGTTAACGTTTATTGAGGGACACCAGCAACACTTAATTTCCGGAGACTGGAGTAGATCCGAGAGGTAAGGAGTCCAGGAAAAGGAGACCGTCGCTGGAATGGAGCCAGCCCTAGAGATGCAAAACCCAACCTGGGCACCTTGAAACCTTTACCTTCCCCTGCGCAGGGGAGCCCGGCATGCCAGGAAGAGCGCGGTTCGCATTACCTTTACCCGTCGGGGCAGCGCCCCAGCCAACTCCAGACCGCCGCAGGCTACGGCTGTTTGGCACCGTCGCCAGGGAGACTGCGCGGAGCAAGCTGGGAAGTCGGGTGGGGCGATCACCAAGGCGGAAGTGTCTACCGACCCAAGCAGGCGAGGAAAAAAGAGGAGGCCCGGCCGACCGAGCTTCCCTAACCAGACAGCCTTAGTTACGTCCCAGCCTTCCTTAGCAACTCTGCGCCTCCAGGTCTCAGATCACCTTCCCGCGGGGCGGTCTAGCGCCACTGGCTTCACGGAACCTGGCTTCCTAGTGACGCCATACCCAGCGACTTCCGGTTCCCGTTCTCGGGGTTGGACTCTCACGTGCTGGGGCTGCCAGTCCTCTCTGGGCTCCAGCGGGCTTCTGATGGATGGGTTCGTCCTCTGCGAGGACGGAGCAGGTGGGCTCTGCTGCTGGTTGGGGAGGCGGGTTGTGAGGGTCCAGGTGGCACGGTGTATGAAGGCCTGTGTTTGAGAACTTAGATCAGACCTTTTGCGTGCCTTTCCCCTATCCAGCTCGTATTTGTTGAACTACTCTGTGTGCAAGGTCCTGTTATTTGCAGAGTCGACACGGTCTCTGCCCGTAGAAGCTTTGCAAGACAGACTTGTAAAGAAATAAGTACAGGATAAGATGCGGAGACAGGGCTGGGACTCTAGTGTGAGATGAGTCAAGCGCAAAATGTAAGTGATGCCAAAAAACTAATCCAGGTAAATTTTTATGTCTAAAAATCAAAACTAATGCCAAAAAATCCTGATTGACAAAATGTCACTTTTAAATAAAGACAGGATTACTAATAGTGCCATGCTGAGGCATACTGAAGCCGGAGGCCAAAGGAAAAACCATTAATACTGATCCTGTGAGTTAAGTGAGCCAGATACGGAAAGATAAGATTATGAAAAGAGCCCCTGGCTAGGGGTGAAACTGGGTAGTTGGGTTCCTAAAGGCATGAAGCAGTTTTTCTTACCAAAAGCTATGGTCCCACAGGCCCAAGGCCTGAAAGAAGTTCACAGACTGTCAATAAAAAAACGGGATCCCTATCATAGGTCCTACATACTTTAGTTTATGAAAGCCTAAATGCTTTCTGATTTATTATGAGATCAATAAGCATATAATTTTTATAGCTTAAGACTTTTTACTTTGATCCCACAAAACAGATACTCTGTGTTGTAAGATGTTAACTATTAACTACCTCAGTATAAAGGCCCACACTATACTGTTGTGTCAGTAATGGACTTTAACTGATTTTTCTTTAGAATCAGCATCAGCCTCCATCCCAAAGATCAAAACCCTTGAAACCACTGAACTTATGCCTTGTAACACATGGGGAAAGCAAAAAGACAATGAAAAAGCACTCAACTAGCATTGCCTGAGGATCTAGGTAAGAATTCAGAGATGTTGGCATCCAGCATGTTCTATCTAATGAACACTTCATAACATTTGCTCTTGATTTAATAGTGCTGGAAGCAATGACTTGGTGCCTCATAACCGGCATCAATTGAAAATGCATTCTGTTGTTTTAAACAGGCAGTTATTCAGACCGTCATCATGGGTATCCGAGGACTAATGAGTTTTGTGGAAGATCATAGTAATGAATTCTTCACCGATTTGAAGTTGCGGGACACAAAAATTATCATTGATGGCTATGCTCTTTTCCACCGACTTTGTTTCAATTCAAACTTGGAGCTCCGGTATGGAGGCGACTATGATTCTTTTGCAGATGTTGTACAAAAATTCTTTGAATCACTGTTTGCATGTAATATACGTCCATATGTTGTGTTAGATGGAGGATGTGATATATCTGATAAAAAGCTTACAACTTTAAAGGATCGTGCTAGAGAGAAGATCCAGACAGCCCATTCCCTTTCACTTGGTGGGGGTGGGTGTGTGTGTCCCTTACTCATCCGGGAAGTGTTCATACAGGTTTTGATCAAGCTGCAGGTATGTTTTGTCCAGTGCTTTTCAGAAGCAGATCGGGACATTATGACACTTGCTAATCATTGGAATTGTCCTGTTTTATCGTCGGACAGTGACTTTTGTATTTTTGACCTTAAAACTGGGTTCTGCCCATTAAATAGCTTTCAGTGGAGAAATATGAACACTGTTAAGGGCACACAATACTATATCCCTGCTAAATGCTTTTCCCTTGAAGCGTTCTGCCGTCACTTCAGCAATATGAATAAAGCTCTTCTACCTCTCTTCGCGGTGCTGTGTGGAAATGACCATATTAATTTGCCTATCATGGAGACATTCTTAAGTAAAGCACGTCTCCCTCTTGGAGCTACCAATTCTAAGGGGAGGAGGCACCACCGAGTTCTGGGACTTCTGAATTGGTTGTCTCATTTTGACAACCCTACTGAAGCACTAGATAATGTTCTGAAATATCTCCCAAAAAAGGATCGAGAAAATGTTAAGGAACTTCTCTGCTGTTCCATGGAAGAATACCAGCAGTCCCAGGTGAAGCTGCAGGACTTCTTCCAGTATGGTTCTTATGTCTGTCCAGACGCCTTGAATCTGGGTTTACCAGAATGGGTACTAGTGGCTTTAGCTAAAGGCCAGCTATCTCCTTTCATCAGTGATGCTTTGGTCCTAAGACGGACCTTTCTTCATACACAGGTGGAAAACATGCAGCAACCAAATGCCCACAGAATATCTCAGCCCATCCGACAAATCATCTATGGGCTTCTTTTGAATGCTTCACCACATCTGGGAAATGTGTCCTGGAATGCATTGCCTCCTCAGTCTCTAGCTTTCAGTGAAGTAGAAAGGATTAAAAAAAATATCAAAACATCAATTGTTGGTGCAGTAGAACTGCCCAAGGATCATTCTGACTTAAGCAAATTGACTGAGGTAAGTATTTGTAATACTAATGAAATTTTTGTAAAGCACTTTACGGGTTACAAAGTGCTTTCGTATATATTATCTCTCTTAATATAACAAACCTATGTGGCTGGGTGCTGTCTTGACATCATTTCATAGCTGAGAAAACTAGAACTCAAGTGAACTAGGTAATATCTTAGCCAGGGTATCAGTGCTAGGATTCAAACAAAGGAAAAAATTTTGAACTACCAAAAAAAAAGTGTACACATAGGCACTGATCATAGCCATAGCATCTCAGACTACATCATTTATTTCCCATTGCTGTAACCTACTATATTGTGGGAATACACAACAATTGATTTTTACATTTTCCAGCTAATGGGCATTTGGGTAGTTTCCAGTTTGGGCTATTATGAATGGTACTATGAACATTCTAGTACACATCACTTAGTGAACACCTGGACACATTTCTATTGCATATGTAACTAGGAGTGGAGTTAATTGCTGGATCATAGGATATGCACATGTTCAGCTTAGAAGACATATTGCCAAATGTTTTTGTAAAGTGGTTGTACCAATTAATATTCCCACCTGTAGCATATGAGAATAACTTTTACTTTACACCCTTGCCAATATTTGGGTATTTTCTATCCTTTTCAAAAATTTTAGCTATTCTGATAGTGTAGTACTATCATTTTAGCCATTTTGGTGGATAATTTGCCTTTCTCTGATGACATATTTGAGCACCTTTTCATGTGTTCATTGGCCATATGATATTCAGTTATGTGAAGTTTCTGACAAAGTCCTTGGTCCTTTGTTAAATAACACTGTGACTAGCCTCTCCCACTGTGTTTTCACTCTTTATTATGTTTCGATGAACACAAGTTTTTAATGCAGTCTAAATTTTTATTATTTATGGTAACCACTTTCGTGACCTACTTGAGAAATTGCCTACTCCAAAGTTTTTTGCCTTTCACATTTAGATCCACAGTCTATCTAGAATTGATGTTTTTGTGTGTATGGTGTGAAACAGGGATCAGGACACTTCTTCCCCCATATGGAAATCCAACTGAATCAGTTAGTGCAGCAGGCTGATTATATTTGCTTTAAGTGGAGGTGACTCAAGTGTACTCATCATTTACTTGGATTCAAAGGAGGGTGAAATTTTAGTTCACTCTCTGTACTGTGATATCATTTGGCTTTCCCTTGGTATGAGCTAATCAATTCTATATTTAGCTCAATGCTGTTGTCTCTAATCAGCCCATGAAAATTCTAAATGGTACCAGGTGCAACTGTGATTCCAAACACAAATGCAGGTACAAGTAGAGAAACATTGTGATAGTACCTATTCATTTTAACATGATGTGATAATAATACTTTATCTCTTTTGTGCCAATTGTAGGTAAAAGAAACTAACTATACAATCTCTCGTTTAATTTCCACAGTAACCACATGGGATAGGGTTTCATTTTGATTATGTGAGTTGCAATGGGCAGAGCACCACTCAAGTTAACCTACAGAAGGTTCATGATGAGGAGAGACGGAAGTGGATCATTCTTAGGGAGTGAGGCAGTGCCAAGACCATCCTCTCTGGGTGCCTTTGCCTCTCGGGCAGCTTCTGCAGGCTTGTACTTTTGCTCCCACTGGGGGAGAAGGAAAGGAGTTGTTACATGCCCTAACTGGTTTAAGGGCTATTGAACACAGTAGTTCCCCTTTGGAAGGGGCTGAAGACTGATGAGTTTGATGAAACATCTTGCGCAACTCATAATCCCATTTTACAGATGATCAGACTAATTGTGGAAAACCTCGGAAACTTGCCAAAGGCTGTAGAGTTAGTGCAGGGCAGAACATCTGTGAAGTCAAAGCCCAGACTGTTTTGTTCATGGAAGTTATAACTTGGCTCTAGAATTCAGTAATTTAAGCATTATGTATCAGAAAAGAATTATTGTATTTTCTTAGCTTAGTGCATTTTTTTAAACCAGTTTAACAGATTAGTTTTTATCTTACTTTAATTAGTTAATGCTACTTCCAGTAGAGGCGATTGATTATACTGTCAACCACTTTGCATATTTCTAATTTTAAAAATCTTATCACAGTATTATTAAAACCAGCATTTTGAAATCATTGTAGTAAAGTTGTCATACACTGATGATAAAACTATTTTGTCATTTATGATGTGTTTTACTTCAAGCTAACATCTCTATTCTCAGCTGTCAACCACACTTACTGATTACTAACTAGGTGTTGGGTGCCGAGAAATGCACCAGACTGTCTCATCCTTCCAGAAAGAAGAAAATCTTTTTCTGGCTCCATGCAGATACTAGGAATTTAACTATTTTTTTCTTCAAGTTTGTTTATAAAGTCCCCCTTAAGATGTACTTTTAATAGTCCTAATTTCCTTATCAGTAAGAGTGTGTGACCTCTGAGTCCTCTTACGGTTCTTAAAAGTTTTGAGATTCATTAAAGTAAAATTACTTCAACAAGAAGCTCAGACTTGTTTACTTGTGAGCTTATTTGAAGTGCACTTTAAAGCATGAAGTACAGCAAGTGTGGTATGTTATTGCAAGCACAATGCAGGTAGTACTTAAAATATTCCTGTCTTGGCCGAGTGTGGTGGCTCACACCTGTAATCCTAGCACTTTGGGAAGCTGAGCCAGGAGGATCACTTGAGGTCAGGAGTTTGAGACCAGCTTGAGCAAGAGCGAGACCCCATCTCTACAAAAAATAGAAAAAATTAGCCAGGTGTTGTGGCACGCACTTGTAGTCCAGCTACTTGGGAGCCTGAGGCAGAAGGATCACTTGAGCCCAGGAGTTTGAGGTCAGTGAGCTATGATGACACCACTATACTCCAGCCCAGGCTACAGAGTGAGACCCTATCTCAAAAAAAAAAAAAAAAAAAATTCCTATCTCCCTTGAAGGTACCTCATAGTAGCCACCTTAGGACAATCCCCGTGTGGGAGAATGCAAGAACAATAAAACATTCAGCAGGGAGGGGACATGTGACAGGATCTAAACAAACAGAAGGCTGTATAATATGCCACAAAAAGAGTGTATAAACTAAGTTAGTCTTCTGGAGGTAATCAGTAATGGCATAATGGAGAAGATAATACCTAAGTGCTCACAGGCAAGTAAGGGTAGGGTCTCCGGTAGAGCTTTATTTCTCAAAGTACAGTACCTGGGCTGCTAGTTAAAATGCATATTCCTGGACTCCCCTCAGATCACCGAATCAAAATTTAGGGGGTGGGGCCTGAGAACTGAACTTCTAACAAGTTTCCAAATGTGTGTGCACTGAAGATGCTCACCAGCCTATACAGAGAGGATACAATGACAGACATAAAGATGTGTGGCAGGAATAGGCCATTTATCCATTCAACCAACCACATTTATTAAGCATCTTATTAATGTTCTAAATGCCTTGAGTGTGACTGATTTTTCCCCCCACAGGAAGATAAGTTTAACAGCTGGCACAGCAGTTTTCATTTGCAAGTTATCTTCATGCTATTAAAAAAAAAAAGACATCCCCCAAAGTAACTTGCAGGATGCTTGGTGTATATTTTCAGCTCTCCTTGGGTAGGCGGCAGATACTTCTGTTAGAAACTCTGAAAGTGAAACCAACCATCCTGGAGCCAATTCCTACGTCATTGAAACTGCCCATTGCCGTCAGTTGCTACTGGTTGCAGCACACAGAGGCCAAGGCAAAGCTACATCATCTGCAAGCCTTACTGCTGGGGATGCTGATGGGGCCCTTGCATGCCATTATCAATAGCTCTAGTAGGTATCTGGAAATTCCAGGAGTATGTTTTTGCATGTTGCTTGCAAACTGTATACTTGAGAATTTACATAAAAAAATATTTTTGGATTATTTACTCCCATCAGTTATATCAGAACTTAGAAGTGGAGGCACCAAAGTATCATTCATTCATTGGTAAATATTTTTGAACACTAAACAATTCCATGTGCCAAGCTCAGTGCTGAAGGGCTTGACTCCAAGTGTACAGCAGTCAGATGTGCTAGGTACTGCCTACTCCCGCCTGCACTGTAGCACTTAATACTTTAACTTGTGTATCATGTTCCCCACCCCATTATTAACACAGCGGCACCACCACCACTTATTTAAAATTGCCCAGAAACTTCTGAATACCTTCAACTACTATAAACATTCATGCTTGTGCTGTTTTTTTTTTTAACTAATCTTTTTAGTCCTTTTTCTCTGCTGTATGTTTCAATTAGTACTTAAGTAGTGGCAGTAGAATTAGTAACTTCTCTTTCTACTAGAGAAATACACTGAGACAATTTCATCTGCATTTAAATACCAGGTGAAATAAGTGCTGAGTCATTGGAACACTAATTTCTCTAATGGAATATTCTCTTTAAAGATTTTGAATGCTATAACACTAAATATGTATAATAATTATCATACTCTAGAACAGTACTATCTCATATGGTAGCTTCTAGCTACATGTGGCTATTTAAAATTAAATTCAAAATTTAGCTTCTTAGTCACACTAGCCACATTTAAAGTGTTCAGTAGTCACATGTGGCTACGGGTTAGGCTACTGTATTGGACAGCACAGATATAGAGCATTCCCATCACTGCAGAAAGTTCTATTGGATAGTGCTACTCTACAGTTTACTTTTTTGAAAGAATGAAACAGCATGGACTTCTAAAACACCCCAAGTGTGTGTGACAGTAGCCATCAGAGGAACTGTTGTTATAGGACAGGCAACTTAAATCAGTTAAGGCCCACTGCTGCTTTAAGAACACAGGTTTAGGCTATTTCCTCTCATTGAGTAATAAATACAGTCTAAGAAAATTCTCAGAGCACAAGCCTATAAAGTTTTTACCTGAGTCCAACAGAAGGGGCATGTCAAGGGTCTGTTTCTTTTCTTTTAGGAAATGTGGACCCTGCACCCAGGCAGGCTCAGTGCCTTCCTGCTCGCTAATTGATAAAAGGTGGGCCTCTTTTTTTATTACTTTCAAATTGGTCCAAATGTTATTTTGTGCACCCCAGCTAAAACAGATCTGCAGAAACATACAGCTAAACCACCCAACATTCCATATTTCCTAGGGTCGTTGCTTCTTGCCCCTTATCCTCTACTATGTAAAGAAGTTGATTATTGCCAAAGTCTCTGAGTCATACTTTAGTTTCCTCCTATAAAACAGGTTAAAACGTACTTTGAACACATGGGTTGTTTCTTTAAATCAAGTGCACTACAGCATGGGAGTTTCCATGAAAGGAAGTTTAGTGAAAGAGAACAATGAAGAGAATGATATTGAATAGTCATTGTATTTTTCATAGACACAGATTTAAGGTTTGGAGAATTAAGATGCAGACACGTTTAAGGTCAGGTAGTGGACAGTGGAAGAGATCTTATTTCAGGGAAAAAATAAATTATTTAGGGTTGAATAAAGTTAGGTTATCATTAAAAAGGTATTTCATAATAAATATTTCAATTTATACAGCAAGGCATTTACAAAGCCAGAAAAGAAACATTTTGGTTTTTTAAATTAATTTCTTTTTCTTTGTGGAATTTGTAGTTTTATATGTAGAGAAAATTACAAGCCATTACATTGTTTTTGGAAATATTGCCCTTGGGTTGTTTATCTAGGTCAGGAAGATCTGCAGGAAGATGGTGCTAAGGTGTTGTATGAAGAGTTCCAAAGAGTGAAGGAGCAGACGCGGCTGGGCACGAGACTGGATTTAGACACAGCTCACATCTTCTGTCAGTGGCAGTGCTGTCTCCAGATGGGGGTGTATCTCAATCAGCTTCTGTCCACTCCTCTCCCAGAGCCAGACCTAACTCGGTAAGCACCATGGGAAACTTTAGTTCAGATGGATGCACACAATAGCAAATACAGTACTTTTACTTATATTTTAAAGCAAAGAAGTTACTTTAAAAATAAACTAATCTTAGTATAATTGATCTTGGATCAGTGCTACAGCTGAAGAGCTAGAAACAGGAAAAATATTAAATTATTTCCATATTCCCAAAGAATGTTTCCATGATTAGATCCAGTTTTTAAAAATCAGTTCCTTAAAGTGAAACACTAATATGAGGAGGAAAAAAGAGGCAGTTGTTGGTAAGATACAACTCATTCCCTCATTTCCTTCAGGTCTTCAACTGAATATCATTTTATAAAGGCTTTTTCTAATGACCTTACTGAGATAATACTCTCTGCCCCTAGTCACTATAGTCCTGTTACTGTTGTATTTTCATACTGCATTTCTTCCCACGTGACATATTGTTCACTCATTCATTTAAATATTTATTAAATGCCTACTCTGTACTAGGGTGCAGTGACAACAACAGAAATACCCCTACTCTTATGGAGCTTTCATTTGAAGCGAGATGACTGTTATATGCCTACGTGGACTTTATCTAGTGTTTGTTTTGCCAGGCAAGTACGAAGAAGGGATAGGCTGTAAGGGAACTGAGCTAATTATAATGCTTCACTATGGAGTTTTAACTGGTTAAGATAGAAAGAAATCATAGCAGTAGGGTGTGGGCCAGTGAAAAAAGTAGTAGGATCAATGGATTGGACATCTTGGTAACTGTCCATCCAGGAGGTACTAGAAGAAAGGGAAGAAGATTAAAAGGGAAGAAGATGGTTAGAAAATGGAATATTCAAGATTGTATATGTGCGTTGTCTCTCCACTCAAATGTAAGCTCTATGGGGAAGGAACTTGTCTATTTTATTTACCGTTGTAGCCCCAGTGCCTTCAGTACTTTGAATGATCTATGGAGGCATACAAAATATTATGGGTAGACTTTTGATTCAAGGTGTGAAAAGCTTCCTAGCAGTAAATAGTGTTCTTAATATATCTCTGGGCCTCATATCTGAGCTAACCCAAATAAGAGTAGTTGGCCTTTGACCTATGGATTCTTTATTCCTTTCCTTTAATAATTTAGGTTATTCTTTACTGGCCATTCTTTATTTGATCTTCTGTAGTTACCACAAATCCCTTTAAAACAAAACAGGAAAAACAAGACCAGACAGTTCTCTCTTTTTTTTTTTTTTGAGACAGAGTCTCACTGTGTTGCCCGGGCTAGAGTGCCGTGGTGTCATCCTAGCTCACAGCAACCTCAAACTCCTGGGCTCAAGCGATCCTCCTGCCTCAGCCTCCCGAGTAGCTGGGACTACAGGCATGCACCACCATGCCCAGCAAATTTTTTCTATATATTTTTAGTTGTCCGATTAATTTCTTTCTATTTTTAGTAGAGACAGGGTCTCGCTCTTGCTCAGGCTGGTCTCGAATTCCTGAGCTCAAACAATCTGCCCGCCTCGGCCTCCCAGAGAGCTAGGATTACAGGCGTGAGCCACCGCGCCCGGCCCAGACAGTTCTCTTAATAATGATTTCAGGACTGTTTTTTCATCTCAGCGTAACCAAGTCTTTTTAAACAAAGATTTTACACTAATTAAATGATGGTTCTACATGGATTGCTAAGGTACCCATCGATCAGCTCTAGGCACAAGACATATTTATTAAACTTGGGCATTCTAGTTAATCCCATCTTCCATTTATGAAGTAGGTTTTTTGTTGAAGTGAATGACTTTGTAAATGATTCCACATTTTCTCATATTTTAACAAACTGCCTGTTTGGTTTATCAAGGTCATCTTAAATTCCTTTTCTCTGAAGTGATAAAGAGGCCTGCTCAACTTGGGGCTAGCTGCAAAACCACTAAGCATCCGTCATTTAATTTGTTGATAAGTTTTTAAATATCATCAGCAAGGAAGTAATCTTTGTAATAACAACTCAGTTCTGCCCTTCAAGGAACAGCTTATTCTTAAATAATTTTAATAACTTTATAGAAGCAATCAAGAGCTTTCATTGTTTCAATGCATTTGTTGAAGCTTTGTTAATGACAGTTGTCCTATTGCACTGAACCAATACTTTTAACAATACACTTTTTCCCCATTGAGCAGATTGTACAATGGAAGCCTGGTACATGGACTATGCCAACAATTGCTAGCATCAACCTCTGCAGAAAATCTCCTGAGCATGTGTCCCAAGGCTAAGCAACTTTACGAACATCTATTCAATGCCACAAGGTCATATGCCCCTGCTGAATTATTCCTACCGAAAGTTAAATCAAATTCAAAAAAAAAAAGGCAGAAGAAACAGGGTACCAACTGGTCAAAGAACAGAATGGGAACTACCTCACACACTGGGTGTTGGTATGAGGGAAGCAACCGGTTTGGGCTGTTAATGGTTGAAAACTTGGAGGAACACATGGAGGCCTGTCAGCTTGAATAAACCCAGTCTCTATCAGACTAGATGTATAATTCTGACTTAAAATTTTTCTGTTACCTCCCTTAAAACAATTAACTTTTTTCTTTAGGACTAACCATATTGGGGATAAACATCATAATAGATAATCTTTGAATTCCAAGGTATTTTGTATTCTGCTTTTAATAAATACAACATGATTTAATAAATTGCTGTATTTCTTAAATATGTTTGAAAGCATGTTCATACTTCTCATGTTCCATTTTGGTACATTAGTAGTATTCTATAACCTTTAAATTGCAGCAACTTCATCATCAATGTTTTCCAAAAAAAGCACAAGTCCTACTTTAATTATTTCCTTTAGGTAAAAGCTAGCTATCATTTCAAAAATTTTGTAAAAGTTTTTTCTTTGTACTTAGTATGAAAAGTCTGGGCCATGAAAGGTAGAAGTGACAATGCCAGACGGCAAACTGTCTACTAAAAGTAAGTACTTAGTAACTAAGACCACAGCAAGGTTGATGAGCATTTTAGGTACATGCCAGGTGTTAAAGAGGTTGAAACTCATGGCCCCCACAAAGTAAGAAATGGCATCCTGAGCTACTAGACCAAGAGAAGGAGGAAACAATGAGAAGAAATGAAAATATCAGAGATATGTGTAGCAATACCAGACTGTAAGCCTTCTTTTATGCTATAGATTTTGACCTATTAATGGGATGTGGAAGTAAAGAGTCATAACTAGCATCTTTTTAGAATGGAAAATATCAGATATACTTATCATGTATTAGGTGGTGTGCAAAATTTGTTTCTTACTGTGGATTGTAGTTAAAAAAGTTTGAAAGGCACTGCTCTGGAAAATACTAGAGGCTGCTAAAATTATAAATACTAACAGAGTTGTGAAGGTACTGGCCAGTTCCAAATAAAGAACTTGAAAATAAAAAGAAGCAAGTGGAATGAATACATTTGGACAAGATCTCAAAGTGTATTCCAACCTTCTCTTTACTTGTATTCACATAAATTGTGTTCTTCCTTTCTTCTCTACTCATGACTGGCATATTCCATAAGTAATAGCCCTAAAGGTGGCTGTAAGCTGCCATTTTGAACAGGCCTATTTCCAGTTCCTAATATCTTATAATTCTCTTCATTTTTCTAAAGTACCATGCTCTTAGGGGAGTAAGCCCAGCATCAGCCAGTATTAAACACACACCTCCCAAGTGTTGACTGGCTTTAGCCATTTACAAAAGGCCACACACAATGTCACTTGCTCCTAAAGTATTCAACTGTAAAAACTGCCTCTGTTTCAAATAAGAGTTCTTGAAATAAGGAAATTTTTATTATTTTAGGAGGAGTGCATGGGGCTCCTTAGTAAGGTTATTATGTCTCCAAAGAGGTAGTTATTCACAGAAGGATCAAGAAAAGAACAGTAATGTATATCCATCTTTCAGAAGAAATGTGTTTTACAAGCATAGATTTAATGGGGACCCTAAACATGTAAGAGCTTTGTACACCAAAATTCTGTCTTACTTGATTCCTGGGGCTAATCTAGAAATTATACCAATATGAGTGTCCTATTTTTCCAGGATTATCAACACTGATTTTTAAAACCACCAACACTGCCTGGAAATCCATTTATTTCCCATTCTGGCAAACAATTGATTTGATGGGCACCAAAGTGGGAGTGTATAGGCTACAGTTTAATTAGAAGTCAACTGAATTATATTGTCTTTTTCTTTCATTAAAAGGGTCCTCCTTCAACAAAAGTAAAAAGTCAGGTTCCCCTCTGTAGCCATTGTACTCAGGGCCATTCACTTGAAATTATCCAGCCTTGCTAAAGGAGTTAAAGTCTAATCATGTCCATTCACTCTTATTCTCTGTAAGTGTTATTACCCCAGTGTAGCTCTGTATGGATTAGATGAGAGGTCACAGACACTCCATAGGATATCTAAGGAGGCTGACCAAATAACAATGATATAGTACCTGACCTCCCCAAAGTCATTCTTGTTTAAGCTGCTTGGGGGGACGACATACATGAAATAAGAGAACATTTTGTACAGCAGTACCAGGTACAGAATGGCAAAGTGCAGACTGAATGCTACAGTAGTCTGTAGTATTGGGAGAAGAAAAAGGAGATAGCAGTCACCTGGATGAGGAGACGTTAAATCAGAGGAAGACTCTCAGACCTGGCTTTTGGCCTGGCTTTAGAAGATAGAAATAAAATTTAGATTAGGTACAGGAGACAACAGAAATACCTGTATAGAAGCAGAATGTTATATATCCCATATTCCATTTCTAAAACCTAGTTTCCTAGTTTTCAATCAAGTCTTTAGGTCCTGGCTCTTTTTGATTCAGTTCTAGCACATGAAATCTCACCTTAGGCTTTGGAAATTTTCTTCAATTATTAATAGATGCTCAAAAGTAACAAAAGGAACTCTGGACAGCTAAGATGAATAAATATGAGGAATAAAGCTGGAGACACAAAAACATTTATGATAATGTAATCATGTTCTATATTTAGTGGTGATAAAATTATACTTTCAGTCTATTTTGTACAAGCCCTTTTTGAAACACCTGGACCTTGCAAGTTTAATATACATCCCGTAAATATGATATTTACAGATGTTTACACCAACTGATCATGAGAAAACAATTCAAATTCACCAGAATTTTAGAAGAGGAAGACCTTAGAGCTAGACTTAGAACTAGAACTTCACTAGAAAGGCCTTAGAATTATCTCTTCCTCCTTTGTGTACAAAGTAAACAAATTCATTACTATGCCTCACTTGCCCTACCTGTAAAATGAGGGATTATGATAGTTCAAATTATTGTCTAAAGATAAAATGACATGTATTTTTAACACATAGTGCCTGGTAGTAAAAACCTGATAAATAATAGACATTATTGTTATATCCACACACAAAAAGCAAGAGCAAAGCAAGGAATCTGGGAAGAAGTGAGACAGTGTCTAGTAGCAGAAAGATTAAGACACCATGAGGCCAGGATTGCCAATAAAGCCAGAATTTTGCAAAGGCAAAGATCAACACTATCTAATATGGCTAAGAAAAGGGCAAGAATGTGAGAACATTATAGCAACTTCAGCAGAGTTGTCATGCCGAAGCCACACTGGGAAGAGTAGAGAATTGCCAAGAGAATTTCAATCAGCAGCCAAGCTCAACCTCAGAAAATAATGCAAAAGAGACCAGAAAGAATTATCCCTATGTGAGTACTCGTATCCCTCTAGCCCTTTTTCCTTTTGTCTAAGAGTTTTCTGCAATGTTCTTTAAATTCAATTTGAAAGAGCCCTAGGCATGTTTAAAGATAGAAAAAAATTGTCCACTTTAAGAGGAGAGCTCTAAAAAAAAGAAAAAAATTAACAGCAGATATTACTACTTCCTGGAATTTCCTCTTCCTTTCTAGCCCTACTCCATAACCCTAAGGAAGCCAAACCCAGTCTTCCTCCTTAGCGAGGTTACCAGGTTTCATGGGATGCTACTCTGTATCACATGCTACTTAGCTGCCTGGCACACCATGAACCCACAGCAGCACCTGGAAAGCAGTCACCACCAACACCAGGAGAAAAAGATTTCACTTCCAAAAAAGGATTAACTCTTACTAGTGCCTGGCTCCAAAAGTGGAGACCTTGTACCTCCAATGAGACAGGTGTGGAGTACTTGATATTTATCTTATAATGTCTTTCGATGACACATTTCAGTCATGACAGCTGAAAGTGATTCTGCCTCTTGTACCAATTTGAGACGAAATACTATTTCTCTTGGACAAATGTATTAAAAATATGCCTCTCCACTTTCAACAACAGCTTTCTGAGCCATACAGGGTAAGGTGCTTTTGCATTTCTTTCCAGAGGTCTAGAGGATGCTAAAATTCAGGTCTATCCAGCTATAAAAATTCCAAGATGAGAACCTCATGTAAGGGAAAGAAGTTTTAAAATTAAAAGGCATGACTGCACCAGTCTCTTAAAATGGGAGAAATAAATGAGTAAGATAATACATGGAAAAGTGTTTTCAGCTAGTTTCACTGGGTTCTGTTTTTAAGGAGAGAAATCAAATTTCAAATGAATATTTTACAATGCACATGCAATCTCTTCCATTCATACTAGTCTTGATAACATTTTATGTATTTGGTTAAAATAGCTAAGTCTTCCTATATATGTATTTATATATTTATATATGTATATGTACACACACATATATCCAGTCGAGAGAGAACTGTATTATGTGAATATATTTTGGTTTAGAATGTTTTGTCCTGAGAAAATGAGTTAGAGAACATATTTTTTCCCTAAGATTGGGCTGTTAGGATATTTGAGTTTCTACTATTATTAAACTTTGTCTTCTTTAAGCAAGATAATATACTTTAGCTCATTCAAATTAAGCCTGTTTCTCTGGGTTTGTACAACCAATGAGAGGAAAACCACCACTTCTCTTGTGTATCCAAGAGTGTGGGAGGGAGCAGATAGACCAGACAGGAGCAGACTCTTCTTCAGATTGGGCAGGGTGGGGAAGGGAGAAAGACAGGGAGCACAGCTCAGATGGGACAGCAGATCAGAATAGTCAACCCACTGTAAGAACAAGGAATCTCAGTGATGAGATGGGATTGGTAACAGCTGGCATGTCCTCCCTGTTGATGATGTTCTGAGAACATACCGAAACACTGACTTTCTATATATAGGAGCCTTTGTGGAGACTGAAAGAAGTCACTGACATCAAGCCTGCTACCAAGTACATCCACCCCAGAGAAAACATCCTGCTGGGAGATTGGAGGGTAGAGAAAATTGATGCCACTTCCTTTCCAGTCCATTGAATGTGATGCATTCCTCTTTTTAAATATCTAAGTAAGTATGTAAAACATTTTGTAAAGGGCCAAACAGTAAATATTTTAGGTTTTGTTGGCCATATAGTCTCTACTGCAACTACTCACATTTACTGTTGTAGCATGAAAGCAGCAATAAACAATATATAAATTAATGCACATAGCTGTATTCTGTTTAGTTCTATTCATTCTATTTAGTTGTGTTCTAAATTTAATTTTCAAAAACAGTTTGGCAGCAGGCAGATTTGCCCTGCCTGCCATAGTCTGTCTACCCCGAAACTACGTAGTAGCTCCATGTGAGTGAGTTAAGCAGGATTAAAATAAACTGTTTCCCTAACTTGTAACACCCCTAACTGATTCATGGGCCATCCAGACCAGCTCCAT